AAACAGGAGGATCACCACCAGCCCGATCTGTGTAGTGAGACCCTATAGACCCTGTATTAAAAATACAAAATAAATAAAATTTTAAAAATGAAGCAGGGTATAGTGATAGTAGTATTTTTAATAAGATCTACACTGTTTTGATACAAACCTCTACCTCCTAATTCATCATTCACTTCAAGCCAGGTGATAACCAAGAAAAATAAGTATATATCACAAACGTTATATGAGACAAATATGGTTAGTAACTAATATGTTTATAGCATTTTCTAAGAACTCATCGAAGAAAGGATTCCTGCTGACGAGATGCTTCAACTCAACCTCACAGAGCAGATAAGAGCTGGCCCAGACTAGGAGAGAGCAGGAGAAAGTAGAGTACAGCATGCCAAGGACAGGGAAATCTTGCAGCACGCCAAGAGGTCCGTGCATGTGAGACACTGGAGCCCAGAAGGATGAAGCAGAGCACAGGTGCAAGGGTGGGCAGCAGGACTAAGGGTGCAGACACTAGGGACTGTTGGTCCCAACTCAGTCTGTTGGGGTGGGACCCCACTGGAAATGGGTTTTTAAAATGTAGGTCACAATGCACACATATATCAAGACATCACCTGGCACTCCATTAATATGTATAAATTGATCTATCAGGTAAAAAGTCTTATTTTAACAAGGCAGAAAAATCAGAGGTATGAAATTCTACACTAATTTCTACTTCCTGTCTGCTCCTTCACCTTAAGCAATGACTGACTGTGGGTTGCAATTCTCTTGTGCTAGAGGTAGGCTCACCAGGACAGGGGCGCTACTGGAAGGGGCCCTAAGGACCACAGCCCCAGCGTCCTCTAACTGAAAGCTGGCAATGGAGCCAAGGCTGCATGGAACCTCTCTGTGGTGGCATGAGCGAGGCTGCCAGGAGAGCAGACCAGGGCACCGTCTCCTCCGCAGCTCAGCACAGGCTGTCCTGTAGCTACGAATGGACTAGTTTTATGCTCTTTTGAAAAAGGACGTAAAAATAAATCTATTTCCCCAAATAACATGATGATCTGCAAAGAAGTCTATATAAAGAATTTTAAAATTATTACTTTATTTTGAGAATCCGAGGACAACCTCACAAAATAAAAAATAAAGTTTAATTTCTCACTTTATGAATGAGAACAACTACTGCAGCCATTGTTATCTCTGGAGCCACACTGGCTGGACCCCAGCTTGACCAGGAAGTCACCGTGTGGCCCTGGGCATGAAACTTGCTGTCTCTGGGCCTCTGTTTTCTTGGTTGTCACAAGGTAAGGACAGCAGAACTTACCTCACAGGTTGTGAGGATTAATGAGGCAATGAAGCAGTGCAAGGGGCACACTCAGAATAGTACCTGGCCGTAAATACTACAGATTAGCCATTATTAGTAACCTGACAGGAATTCTATGTATCCACAATTAACCTATATAATCAAAACTATGGGGAATGTTCAGTTTGTTAATGTATTACAGTAAAAGGCACACTGTCATTAATCCCTCTCCAAATACCTCCCCCCTCACTTCAAATACCCAAAGCAATTCTAGAAGTCCCCTGTCACATCTGTACTTGGGCTGTTATGGCCGCTCTGACATCCTACATTGGTTCAAAACATTGACTTTTCACAGCCATTTTGACCCAGGGGAAGAGTAAGAAGCTGCCCGCGCCAGATGTGGCAGGTACGGCAGGTGGGTGCATGTCACAGTGCTGCCCTGAGCCCACTTGGCCACTGGACTTTTAATCACAGCTCATAATGACAGGAAGCGGGACTGTTAAAACTTCTTCAGGAAGTTCTGAAGATGACAGGAAAAGGTGTTGGAAGTGAGACTGATGTGAAGGGGATGAACGGCAATGTGCCTTTTACGGTACCATCGATTTTTAAATTTTTAAACATTCACTGTATATTTTCATCACATCCTGTATTTTCTACAAAATTTCTGCCTACAGTCATCAAACTAAACAACACACTTTAAAAAAGAAGCTTAAAAAAAGGAGAACAAAACAAAAACCCAAAGCTGCCACCCCCAGGTCTTCTGTAAGACAGCAGAGCAGGCAGACTCACCAGTGGTGCCAACCGGACAGTTGGTGCACACCACCTCCTTTGTCTTGGGGACAACGGCACAACTTGAGCCCCCAGGGCATGGGCATGGCTGGCAGTCAGAGGAGGTGCCAGCCGTTGAGTCTCCGTAGTAGCCGTCACCGCACCGCTCGCAGTGGGGACCGGCAGTGTTGTCTCTGCAGTTACACACGCCTACGTGAGGAATGGGTGCGAGACAGGGCACCAGTGAGTAAAGCGATGCACATCTCCATGCTAGCTGCTAAAAAGCCAGGCCAGCGGGGGCCGAAGACCGTCCCCTCACCTGTTTCAGGGTCACAGGTCTCACTGTGGCCGTTGCAGGTACACAGCACACAAGGACTGTATGGCCCAAGACTTGGAGTTTCTCTTCTGTAGCCCGGGAGGCACACCTCACAAAACTGCCCTCCATAGCCCACTGGGCAGGTGCAGGACTCCACCCAGGTGGCAGGGACCCCAGGACCAGGACGAGCACTCGCCAGGGTGACATCATCAAGGTAGCCAGCAACTGTGTGCGAGTAGAAAGGACAGCTGCTGAGGCACCTCCACTTCCCAAGAGCTGTGAAAGTCCGTAACTAGACACTCCAGGCCCAGCAGGCCAACGTAAACCAGCTATTAGTTTGATTTGTCCACCAGGAATATAATTAGAAAATGGCTTAAATTATACAATGCTATTTACTAAATTTAACAAATTTTCTTTAGGTCCATGAAAGCAATACACATATCATATATAATGTGTTAGTTTATATTATTCCTTTGGATTCCGTGTTACAGTATTAGAGGAGACAGCCTTCCGCGTTATCACATATCCTATCTAATCATTTAAACAATTCTCCTGAATTGCATCATCATTTACTTCTCTCGCTGTAGGTCCCCCGGATCTTGATAGAAGTCAAGTTGTTTAGGAGCTTCTGAAACTCGAAAGGAGTAAGAGCAGGCCTCCAGGGGTAGTCTGTTGCTTCGTGGAGCCTGGAGAGGAAGCAAGCAAGGACCCACTTAACCTCCGCGGTGCTAACTGCAGCTGCAGGAGTGCACCTCTCAGCTGGGCCACCAGCAGTGGGACGCTGAACACTGCTGGTCCCCACTGCTGGGCCACCAGCAGTGGGACAGTCTAACCCAGGCAGAAAGGAGACTGCTGCGCTGACAGTACAACTGAGAAAGGAGAAGGATACAAAGGACGGGTCTCTTTTACAAAGTTACCATGATAACCTGGAAGTTTTTCTTTAATATATATCTTGAGACCAGATAAACTCAAGCAAAAAAAAAAAAAAACAAAACAAAAAACCAACCACTTTCACAGTGCAAGTCCAAAATGCTTTTACAGGCAGGCATCTCACCTGAAGACATACTTCACTGGGGTTTCGCTGGGGTAGGGGTTGCCCTGCGCGATCAAGGGCACGGATACTCTCAAGCCTGCTCCCTCCAGCACGAGGTCTTCCGCCGAGAGGCGCGTGTCCTGTCTGTCCACACGAAAGGAGAAGGACAGGTTCTGCCCGTAACTCAATACCTGGTTGCCCAAGAACTTGGCTGGAAAACAGACACGATGGTGGGCAAGAATGTGAGCGTGAGGCTAAAGAGAAGCACCAGGAAGCCACGGCAAGGTCCAGCCTCACTTACCAGGGGCAACGAAGTACCTCGGGAAGTAGCTATCGGAGATCACGGAGATATCTTGCCTCTCAGAGGACCACTCCAGAGATGTCTCAGAGCCGTCTCTCTGCTCCACACGCCACCCATCCTCATCTGCAGACAGAGAATAGAAAGAAACGAACTGCTACACTGTAAACATCCTGATTCCAGATCCTCTGTATCTTGCAAAAATGTGTTGACTGTACCTTGTCTATAGAAAGTCAACAATAAGTTTTTCTATGAGCCTCCTACAATAGTACCTATACATGTTATGCATGCCCTGTGAGCTATATTATGTTGGATTCTTATTTATATAATGTTTGCACTCACCGATCACTACACTAAGTTCTAGATAAATATACATATTTTCATTAGATTAAAGGCCTTAACAAGAAGCATGCACACTCATGCCTATGCACATAAATGTTCCCACTATCAAAAAATCCTCCAGGTTACTGATTGAAAAAAAAAACATACACATTTTAAATGTTGTCTCAGGGTTCTAGGAGATAGAAGGGTAAGACCAAAATTACCAATCTGAAAGGCAGAGGTTATATCATAAGCACGGTAGCCAACTGCATTCGTACAGACAGAAGAATGTCCAAAGCAGAAGCAGGGTGTGCAACCCCGAG